TGGAAGTAAACTCCCATAATACATTATAATAAAGCTTACCTGTAGGTACAAGGAATATCTCCTAAACATGCTCCATTTAGGAGATATTCAGTGTCCCTGCAGGCGATGACGTCACCGGTGCATGTGATCTGAAGGATTGGCATACCCGTGCCGATACTTAAGAGCTCTGTGCCACGGCCGAGACTCCCACACTGCCGCCATCGTGGTTCAGCCAATCAAGCGGCCAGAGCCCGCAGACTCAGAAGGATGATCTGGTGAAGATGGAAGCCTTCTGCAGCGGTGACAGCTGATAGGGGTTTTAACCATTTCCTTTTCTATCCAAAACTGACAAAATGTTTGTACATATACATTACAGTCCATTGAAGACAGAAACCAGACAGGCAGCCCTGAAATCTTATTTCAAGGGCAAAAAGCTTAAAAAAACAACTGATTAATATAGTAAAACAGGCTGCAAGCTGTCTTATATCAAATGTAAAAACAAATTCAACTTGTTCTGTACAGGCAAATAAAATTTACATTAATATTTGTAATTGGTCATTTGGTTTACATTTTCTGTTCTTCAACCACTTGCCATCTGCCCTATAGCAGACGTACTGATACAGGGTGGCAGGGCTGCGCAAAATCAAATATATATACATGATTTGCATTTCCGAGTAGGGGCTGCTATTGGCAGCTGGGGATGTCAAGCACCAGGTCTCGGCTGTTGATTCCCGGCTGGCATTCTGTGATCATCTGCAAAGCTGACAGGTAAGAGACCTGTGTGTAAACAATAGTGTTGCACCGAAATTAAAATTCTGCTGCCGAAAACAAAAATTAAAAATGTACTTGGCCGAAAACCGAAACCAAAATGCACAGTTTTTAAAAATGAATATATATTCTTTGGAAATAATACATTTTGATTAAAAAAAACAAAAAAAAAAACAAATAATATATATACCCCAATGTTTTTGTAAAATATAAAAGAGGATGTTATGGCGAGTAAATAGATACCCAACATGTCACGCTTTAAAATTGTGCACGTTCGTAGAATCGCATCAAAATGTGGGAATTAAAAATCTCCATGGGTGACGCTGTCAAAATTTCTACAGGTTTTGCAGTGTAACATTACAGAGGAGATCTAGTGTGAGATTTATTGCTCTTGCTCCAACGTTCATGGCGATACCTCATGTGTGATTTGAACACTGTTTACATATGTGGTCTACGTATGCGTTCACCACTACGTGCGAGCACGGGGGGACGGGGGCACTTTAAACTTTTTTTTAAATGTATTTAATTTTTTTTTTTTTTTGCACTGTCCCTTTAAATAAAATTTGATCACTTTTATTCCTATCACAAGGAATGCACGCATCCCTTGTGATAGAAATAAATAGTGACAGGTCCTCTTTATGGAGAGATATGGGGTCAATAAGACCCCACATCTCTCCTCTGCAATGTAAATCATTAGATCAAAAAAATAATTGATCTAGTGCTTAAAAAAAAACAAAAAATTGCCTTGGTTACAAGGCGCCGGAACCGGAAGTGTCATTGCTCTGGTCCTCCAAAGGCATAGAGATGAGGGGAGGCCATCTTTCCTTCACTGATCTCTATGCCCCAGCGCTGAAATCATTTGATGGTTTCTCAGGTAAGACTGAGAACTACCGTTCGGCGGCTTGTGGCATCAGCGGCGGTGGCGAGGGGGGCGAGGTTTTTTTGGCATCTGTATCAGTGCTTTTTTTCATATCGGCCGATAGGGGTGTTTTCAGCCAAAATGTCGGTTCACCTCTAGTAAAATACACAGGTCTCTCCCCTGTCAGCATGGGACATGCTGCTTTCTATATCTCTGCACAGCAGAGAGATACAAAGCAGCACGCCTCTCAAGTAAAACAGCACACAATGGAAAACACACAGTTAACCCTTTGATCAGCCCAGATGTTAACCCCTTTCTGCCCAGTGTCATTAGTACAGTGTCAGTGCTTTTTATTAGCACTGATCATTGTATTAGTGTCACTGAGGATGTCAGTGGCAGTTAGTTCCCACCCAGTTTCAGAATGCCTGCTGCGGTCCTGCAGTCCTGCTACAAGTCGCTGATTGCTGCCAATACTAGTATAAAAATAAAATTTCCAGCATATATACCGCCATTCGTAGACGCATTAACTTTCACGTAAACCAATTAATATACAATTATTGAGATTTTTTTTTTTTTTTAGCAAAGAATATATTTTGCCCTAAATTTGTGAAGAAATTAAATTTTTTTATTGGATGTTTTATAGCAAAAATTCAAAAATATTGTTTTGTTTTTTTTTCAAAAGTATTGGTCTTTTTTTGTTTATAGCGCAAAAAAAAAAAAAATAACCGCACAGGTGATCAAATACCACTGGGAGAAAGCTCTATTTGTGGGGAAAAAAAATTACAAATGTCATTTATGTACAGTGTTGCATGACCGTGTAATTGTCAGTTAAAGTAACAGTGCAAAAAATGGCCTTGGTCAGGAAGGGGGGTAAATCCTCTGGAGGGCAAGTGGTTAAAAAAGACTTTCATAGGTGAATAATAGCAGCTACCACTAATGAATTACCCTTTAACCACTTCCAGACCGGACACTTTTACCCCCTTGCTGACCAGGGCAATTTTCAGCTTTAAGCGCTATCACACTTTGAATGACAATTGCGCGGTCATGCAACACTGTACCCAAATGAATTTTTTACCATTTTTTTGAGACAGATAAAGCTTTATTTTTGGTGGTATTTATTCACCGCTGGGATTTTTATTTTTTTTGCTATGTAAATGAAAAAGTCCCAAAATTTTGAAAAAAAGGTGTTTTTTTTTTATAAAATTTTGCAAATAAATAATATTCCATCATAAATCTTTGCCAAAATATATTCCGTTATCTTTTTAGTAAAAAAAAAAATCCAAATTAGTTTATAACCAAAAATTATAATTTTTTAAACATTTATTTTACATTTTTATTTTTTTATATTATTTTTTATTTATTTTTTTTTTACATACTGTCACCCTAGCAGTACAGTGTCACCATGGTGACACTGTACTACTTGTGGGGGGTGATGAAGATTTTTTTTTTTTTTTTTTACACATTGCTTTTACACCCATATAGGATGTAAAAGCAATCATTTTCTCTTTCTCTGTCTGCATTCTTGCACTCATTGAGAAATACTGAGTGAGCTGTGATTGGTCACAGCTTGTCACATGGTACAAGCTTGTTGTGAATAGGCTTGAACCATGTGACCTCTGTGTTCATTAACAGATTTCACACGTAGTAAGCAATGATGTCACAAGTGACATCTTGCTTACTACTTTGCATGTGATCATTGATTGACCAATCAGTGATCACATGATCGGGACCTCGTACAGAGGTCCCGTCCGATGATCGGTGTTTCACTGTGTCCAGAGGACACAGCGGGCACCGGATCGCGGTGCTGCGCGCTCCCAGGGAGCGCGCACAAGCAGGGTGCGGGGAGGCCGTTTATAAACGGCCACCCGACCCTGCACTGCCACCGTCCGGCCGTTTATATGCAACAGCCGGTCGGGAAGTGGTTAAGAATGCTAGTTACCTGTCAGCTGATGCTTCAGCAGAATCCCTGATCTGGAACAGGCATGGCAATAAAGAATGCTAGCACTCATTTACAGTATACATGTTCCAGGTCTGAAACTCAGAAATACTAAAGTCAGACACAGGCAGTCAACCAGCACTTTCAAGCGTAGGCCACCAATGAAAGCCCCCATACTTTCTTATGACACTCTGAGGGTCTATTTACATCAGCAGCTTTGCTGCAATGCAGAGGCTGGGGTGTGGGCAGATGAAATCATTGAACTTCCAATGTGTACTGCGCTGAAAAAAAGTATGGCCTGCCATAGTTTAGTTCCATGTACGTAACACAGGCACATAGGAGACAGGGAATTTTACCTTGTCTTGCGGTGAAGTCTGCGCTGGAATAGCTGCTCAACACAGTCCCACCACACCTGGGGTAATTACACTCTAAGGGTTGTACACACCACAGTTTCAGCATTCTAGATGCGTTTTTGTATATGCATTTACATGTGTTTACTCATTTTCAGTGTGTTTTTTTTCCTCTTTTTATTTTCATCTTGACACTTGCGTAATCTTTATTTTCATTAGGACAATATGCATTTTGGTGCGATTCCACGCATTTTGATGTTTTCTGGAAAAAAAAAAAAATGTATCAGGTTGTATGTTTGTTGAAAGCACTGGAACTGACCGGACGGGTGTGACCTAGGGCGTTTGAAATACATGGCAAGCACAGTCTCCAACGCACTGGAAGGCATCTGATGTGAACCAGCCCTAAAAGAATATTTATTTAGAAATATCCTAACCTTAAATCAATGAGCCTACGTCAGTTTCTCTTTTTTTATTAATAAAAGGAAACCTAACTTTATGATACATTTTTTTCCTGAGTTGCACAACAAAAGTTTAATCAAATTTAACATAAGAAAAAAATGCAGGTGTAACAAGGCCGGGTAATAACAATATTGCGGTGTATGTATATTGCACAGTGAATAGATCAGTGTGCCTTAAGAAATTTCTCTTCATAAATCGCACTTAGTGTTAATGGACAGAGCATAATAGTCCATGAATTAAGGTTCAGTTCAAAGATTACTTTGAAAGATACAATGTGCGTCCAATCAAATAGCGGTGTTGGTTATAGGCAAGACAGGTACCATAGGGAATCCAAGGCATTCCACAGAAGGGGTTATAGCACCTTTGCTCTTTGCAATGAACAGGCTGAGAAGTAAAAAGAGGCTGATGCTATAGATGACGTTTTGATTTTATCTGAAAATGAACATGCATGTCATAAGCTGTGGTATTTTAGTGCACTGGAAAAGCAGTCTGTCTGGGAAAGATAATCAACTTTAACTTGGTGTAGCACGTTGCAGCTGTGCAGTTCCAAGTTTATCCTCCGGGGTGCAGTGTCCAAAGGGCTGTTTTGTCCAATTAAATTCATAGGAAGGCACTTCCAATTATCCTTCAGATCCAGGCTTTGGATTTCTTACATGACGGGGAAACGGCTTAGTGCCTGCTTCAGTTTTTCAGCAATCTAAAGAAAGCAAAAGAAATATTAAAATAGGCTACAGCATTAGTTGAATATTTTGTGAAGCAGAAACAGCAGACCACAAGGCATTTTTCCAAGCAAACCTTATGCAAAATCTGGGATTTTCAAACTGAGCATATGGTGAAAAAATTAGTAACAGAACATACCTGCAATGAAAAAAACTAATATTAGTTCCAGACAGCTAAGCAGCTGGAAATTTTGGAAATGTTAACTTTTCCTGCAAAAGTTTTGTTTCTCCCACAGCTCTCCCTGCCTTCCTATTAGTAATAGAGGCTGCTCATTCCATAAAGGACCAGAAGGGAGAGGTTGAGAAAGCAGGCGCACTACCTTTGTACATAAAGCCAAAATCTGAGTAAAAATTCAGCTTACCGTATTTTCCGGCGTGTAAGACGACTTTTTATACTTAAAGACATACCCCAAAAATCGGGGGTCATTTTATACGCGGGGGGTATACAATTGTGAACCTTTAGTTCATTTGGGCCAAGCTGGCTCAAAACGAACGTCCCTAATCTGTCAGCCTGCTGGATGTGCGGTAATACTGTATGTACGGTAGCTTCGGCTACATACAGTATACCACGCTGAGCCAATATCGGCGAGCGATGTATTCTGTTAATGTATACAAAGCCTGCTCGGATTGGCTGAGGTTGTGACATCATCAGCCCGCCTCTCTGACTCAGCCAATCCGAGCAGGCTTTGTATTAATTAATTGAATACATCACTCGCCATGATTGGCTCAGTGTGGTATACTGTATGTAGCCGAAACTACCGTACATACAGTATTACCGCACATCCAGCGGGCTGACAGATTACCGTAGGGATGTTCGTTTTGAGCCAACTTGGCTCAGCGCGGTATACTGTATAGTGTATGTAGCCGAAGCTACCGTACATACAGTATTACTGCACATCCAGCAGGCTGACAGATTAGTGCGTGTATATTTAATCAAATCTGATGTTTTTAAATGGTGTTGCCTTGGAAGGGGGGTAGTCTTTTACGACGAATATAGCCCAAAACCTGTTTTCACTAGAAAATTAGGGGGTTGTTTTATACACCCAGTCGCCTTATACGCCGGCAAATACGGTATATCGCCGGATCCACTGGCTGCTTTTACATGACATTTTCATGGAGGGTAACTTATGTTTTTTTTTTGTCATATGCTCAGTTTAAATTTTCCAGGTCTGCAATGGGCTGATTTTAAAGTGAGATAATGTAACCACTTGAGCTCCAGCAACGTACCTGTACATTACTGGAGTTTGAGTAGTTATGCTGGGATGATGCCTGCAGCTGCAGGCATCACCTCGGTACCATTTTTTTTTAGAGCTGACAATCAGCTCACTTGTAATAGCATTCGGAACAGCTAACTAGACGCTCGATTGCTATTACAAGCAGCGGGAGGGGATGTCCACCCCTTTCCATGGCTTTACCGGGATCTCTCATCCCACCAGGAGTCCCAATCGACCAGCCGGCAAAGTGAGATGATATAGTAAGCTGGAAGGGATGGCCTTACATTACTTCCGGTTTATTTGGATATAAACAGCACCAAAAGAAAGAAAAGCATCTGATTACACCAATCTTGTCTTACTGACCCCATTTCTTTCCATAAAGAGTACCTTTCACATTCCTATGTTCTTTACATTCCTTGTGACAGCAATAAAAGTGCACAAACCAATTAATTTACATGTATTGGGATTTTTTTTTTTTTAGCAAAGACATGTAGCAGAATACATTTTGGCCTAAATTTATGGTGAAATTTGATTTTTACATTTTTTTTTTACTGGACATGATTCATAGCAAAAAAGTAAAAAATAATGTTTTTTTCTCAAAATTGTTGGTTTTTTTTTTTTTTTATAGCGCAAAAAAAAAAACCTAAAAAACGCACAGGCGATCAATTACCACCGAAAGAAAGCTCAATTAGTGATAAAAAAACGGAAGTAAATTTCATTTGGGAGCAGCGTTGCATGACCACGCAATTGTCAGTTAACGTAACGCAGTGCCGTAATGCAAAAAATGGCCTGGTCAGGAAGGGGGGTAAATCCTCAGGAGGGTAACTGGTTAAAGAGTGACATGTTAGGCATTTATTAACTCGTCTGTAACATTATCTTTTATATTTTACCAAACAAAACACTGTATTGTGTTTTTGTGCATTAAAATTCATTAAAGTGTATTTTTTCCCAAACAAAATTGCGTTTTTTAAAACCTGCTGCACAAATACCATGTGACATAAGATTGAAACACCCACCATTATATTTTATAGGGAGTCTCCGTAGAAAAATATAATATGTTTGGGGGTTCTAAATAATTTTCTAGCAAAACAATGCAAATTTTTACATGTATGTGAAAAGAGTCAGAATTGACATGGGGGTCAAGTGGGTAAATATACTGCAATGCTCTTTATGCAGTGATCAGTGACACAAAAGCATGGTTTTCAGCAGTGTAGGGCCAGTGGATGTACCATTTACTAATGTTAGCACACCCTACCTCCAGCTTATTGCCTCATTTCAGCTGCTCCATTTGTGATCACACCTGCTGCAAATATTGTATAGTGCTTTGCCATGGCACCTTGTAAGACTGCACACATTGACAGTCTATGATGTGATGTTTGTACAGAGCTCATGATAGGCAACTGACAAAGTTTATCCCCCCATAAAAAAACAGCCTTAAAGGTCTAATAAATTCTCTTTGAAGAAGCAATAGTAAAGCAATTGCATGTCTTACGGTTTCATAAAACTGTACTTGCTGCTCCAGGTACAGGCGAACGACACTGTTGTAATCGTAAATTCGATTGGAGTGGAAATGATTCATTTCAGCTGAGTAAGAAATAAAATAAAAAAAAGTCCATTAACAAAAATATACTTTGTTAACAGTTCAATGACCATATTTTATTTGATGCATAACGCATTCATGGTTTCCATATCAATGCATTACCTTGAAGTGCATACGACATTGTGCTTACTCGCTTCACCATGTTTGTCTTGTCCTGTTGTGTTATTTTACTAGTAGCCACCAATTTATCACTTTCCTTTATCTTGTCAATGGCTGCCTACAATAACAAAACAAAAATGCAGAACATTAAATTGAAATCTTTCCAATGAACCACACACATTGCAAGAATGAAACAATATTGAAATTTTCAAACTGAAGTTTTTATAGTTCTAAACAATCTTTTCATTTAGGCCTCTTGCACACTGCAGCTTTAAAAAGTGCAGTACAGCGTTTTTTTGCTGATCTAAAATGCAGCCCATTGTTTACAATGTTCCTGTACATACAGGAGCGTAAACAAGCGCTGTATATTCCTGAGTAGAAAAAAAAAGGAAAGATCTGCATTCCTAGTTGGTACTTTGTGCCGATAAGTGCATTTGAATATAAGTATTAGAGGATTTTGCATAGGTGTATTGTGCGTGTAAATGCGCATATGCTCAGAAATGGGCAAATGTGTGCATAAATACACAAAACAACAATCAAAATGAAAGCAAGTAAAATACACACACAAAAAGAACAAAAAAGCCCAAAACAAACATCTGAAATTATGTCAAAAAATGCTGATGCTTAAACATCAGTACCGTGTTCAAGAGGCCTTAGGATGCTGTATGTGCAATGAAAGTTGTGATTTAACCACAAGCCTACAGGGCACTTATACCCCCTTCCTGCCCAGGCCAATTTCCAGCTTTCAGCGCTGTTGCACTTTGAATGACAATTGCGCGGTCATGCAACACTGTACCCATATGAAATTTTTATCATTTTTTTGTGACAGATAGAGCTTTTTTTTTTTAGTGGTATTTAATCACTTCTGGGTTTTTTATTTTTTCTTAAACAAACCAAAAACCACTGAAAATTTTGAAAAAAAACAAACTGTTTTTCTTAGTTTTTGTTATAAAATTTAGTAAATAAGTGATTTTTCTCCTTCGCTGATGTGTGCTAATGAGGCTGCAGTGATGGGCACTGATAGGCTGCACTGATGGACACTGATAGGTGGCACTGATGGGCATTGACAGCATCACTGATGGGCACTGAAAGGCAGCACTGATATATGGCACTGATAGGCGGCACTGACTGGCACTGATACTGAACTGATAGGTGGCACTGATGGGTGACACTGAAAGGCAGATCAGATGGGCACTGATGTGCACTGGTAGGCACTGATATGTGGCACTGATGAGTACTGACAGGTGGCACTGCTGGGGCTACACTGATCATCAGGGCACACTGATCATCAGTGTACATGTCCCCTCCACGGAATGTCGATTACCGGCTCTCCTCTCCTCATGAGCTGTCAGCGTGACAGCTCGTGGGGAGAGAAGTTCCGATAACCAACATTTCTCTGTTTACATGTGATCAGCTGTGATTGGACACAGCTGATCCCATAACCGAGCCAGCATCTTCGGCTCTCTCCGTAGATCGGTGATCCGCTGTGTCCAAGGGACACAGCGCACCGCCGATTGCCGTGTTGCGCGCTCCGGGAGCCGCGCATGCGCGGTTAGAATGGGAGGACGTCATATGACATCCTCCCAGAACAAGAGATCCACCTTGCGGCCGTCATATTACTATATGGCGGACGGGAGGTGGTTAAAGAATTTGGCAAAAATCACATCTGTTGCTCAGTGTGTACATTAACCTCCCTGGCGTTATGATTATTTCAGATTTTTGGAGCTGAAAGCGGTACCATTATTTTGCATGGAAATATGTAGTTTTTTTATTGTAGGCCTGTCATTTTTAGGAATAAATGACTGAAATTTGTCCGAGTCTAGTAAACATTCCGGATGTGATAAAACTTGAAACATGAAATCATAAATTATAATTTAATAATCATAAAAAATAATAATATAATAATAATAAATTTAATTCAATAATATAATCAAACCAAAAACACTGAAATTTGAAATATAGCGCCAAGTTCGCACATCACTGAGCAAAGTCGCAGAATCGTTTTCAGTGTCTGATGACGAATTTCCCCACGAATCATTATCACTCAATTCTGCAAGTGGTTCTGATTTACCATCGCTGTTCTCTAGCTGATCTAACACCGCTTTTGACCTAAAGGGACGCTTTTTGGACGCCATGGACTTTTCCCAGTTTCCAGGCAGAAAGAACAGTCAAAATGCAGGCAGGGCACAGGACAAAGCATTAGGGACAAAATGTATGTGAAATGGTTTGAAACAGCGATGTTTTGCTATGTAATAATTGTTTAAAAAAAAAAAAGACATTTTTAAAACTTTCAAATTTCCCGCCGGTTCCGGCACCCGTACGTCCCGACGTCACTGGGACAGGAACATGGAAGCTGGATACCGGCATCGGCTGGAGGAGGTGGCCGGGGACGCTGCAGGGGACACATCGTGGGAGCGAAGGACAAGGTAAGCGCTGCAGGGAATCCATGAGCAACGCCGCATGGTAAGCCCGAGTGTAGCTCGAGGTTACCGCTTGTTGTACTGAAATTTTACCCCGAGCTACACTCGGGAATACCACCAGGGAGGTTAAGGCAAAATAAGACTCCTAAAATAGAGACAAATAGCTGTTGCTCTACACAAATGCACTCAGTTCCCAAGTCCTGTTGTTAACTGACAACACTCATCATTTTGTGTGGATTGAGTGGTGTCAGCCCTGCTCAGTGTCTTTTGCTAAACTACTCAAATTTTCCCACTCTCAGAGCTCTTCTACATAGGGACTAACTATTCTGTAGTCCAAGACATTCTAAAAGGGTTAAAGTGTTACTAAACCCAGGACCCACTATAGAATGCCCTATATCTGGTCTCCCACACTACACAGAAGATGGAAGTGCAATTATTTTAGTAAATATAAACTGCTACGTATTTTTTCTCATCAGCAGTTAGAGCAGTCTTGTGACTTCTATCAGTGTCCAGCCCACCACTAGTTAAAGATTGTAGGAGGAGTTTTCTTTCTGCTCTAGGAGGATGGAAATCCCCTGACCTCTGTCTTGAAAGTGCTGATTGGCCCTGTGCTGATCACATGCACTCTCCCAATAAAAAAAAAAACCCTCTCTAGCAATACACACCAAACTGAGCATGTGCATGCCTAAGGTTCAGTCTGGAGATAAGAGGTGGTCAATTGAAAAGGGAGGAACAGAGAAAAAAAGATCAAACAGCCTTTTTTACACAATGCAGAGAATGAATGCCTTAGGTTCCACAGTGAGTATAACAAGCATGCTTTACTGCATAATATAGACTGATTTTACTGTTGTGGGTTTAGTAACACTTTAATTAGGCTCCTCGTGATATACACTGCTCAAAAAAAAAAAATGAAAGGAACACTTTGAAAGTACATCAGATTTCAATGAGGAAAAATATGCTGGATATCTATACTGATATGGACTGGGTAATGTGTTAGGAACATAAGGATGCCCCATCGTTTCATGGAAATGAAAATGATCAACCTACAGAGGGCTGAATTCAAAGACACCCCGAAAATCAAAGTGAAAAATGATGCAGCAGGCTAGTCCATTTTGCTGAAATTTCATTTCAGCAACTTAAAATGGTACTCAGTAGTTTGTATGGCCCCCACATGCTTGTATGCATGCCTGACAACGTCGGGGCAAGCTCCTGAGATGATGGATGGTGTCCTGGGGTATTCCCTCTCAGATCTGGACCAGGGCATCACTGAGCTCCTGGACTGTCTGACGTGCAACCTGGCGGCATCAGATGGACCGAAACATGGTATCCTAGAGGTGTTCTATTGGATTTAGGTCAGTTGAGATTGAGGGCCATTAAACGGTATCAATTGTTTCATCCTCCAGGAACTACCTGCATACTCTCTCCACATGAGACCAGGCATTGTCATGCACCAGGAGGAACCCAGGACCCACTGCACCAGAGTAGGGTCTGACAATGGGTCCAAGGATTTCATCCCGATACCTAATGGCCATAGATATGCCTCCTCAGACCATCACTGACCCACCACCAAAACGGTCATGCTGAACGATGTTACAGGCGGCATAATGTTCTCCACGGTTTCTCCAGACCCTTTCACGTTTGTCACATGTGCTCAGGGTGAACCTGCTCTCATCTGTGAACAGCATAGGGCGCCAGTGGCAGACCTGACAATTCTGGTGTTCAATGGCAAATGCCAATCGAGCTCTATGATGCCGGGCAGTGAGCACAGGGCCCAGTAGAGGACGTCGGACCCTCAGGCCACCATCATGAAGTCTGTTTCTGATTGTTTGGTCAGAGATAGAGATGAGCTAATTATTCAAAAATTCGGTTCGGCCGATTCGCCGAATAAATTCGCTTCGAGCCGAATATATTCGCTGCGAATTTAACTTATAAAAAGGGTGTTTCTAGGCTTCAGAGAGCCTTTATATTAGTGCAGAACACTGTACCTTTAATTTAAATGCCCTTGGAGTCTGCTGGGGAAGAGAAATAATACTGTCAGTCAGTATGACATGCAGATGAGTGCCGTCGATCTTAGAATCACCGCACACTTCACTCATTTGGGCAGTCACGGGGCCAAAACCAGAGTGTGGAGCCACAGTGTGGCGGTGGAGGCAGCAGCAATGGGAGGCCATACAGCACCCTATGACAAAATGGAACCCACCAGCAGTGTGAGGAGACCTGAAAGTGGCACATGGCAGAGTGTGGCGATGGAGACAGCAGCAATGGGAGGCCGTACAGGGACCCATGACACACTCTGGACCTGGCAGCAGCATGAGGAGGCGGTACAGGGGCCCATGACAGATTACGGGCCTGGCAGCAGCATGAGGAGTCGGTACGGGGGCCCATGGCAGATTACGGGCCTGGCAGCAGCATGAGGAGGCGGTACAGGGGCCCATGGCAGAGTGGCGGAGCGTAAGCAGCTAAAATTGAAGGCCATACAGAGGCCTATGTTAAAAAGTCCCCCCAGCAGCAGCGTGGGGAGACGACTATCAAGAGTCCAATGGCAGAGTGGCGGAGCAGAAGCAGCTTCAATTGAAGGCCATACACAGGCCTAGGTTTAAAAGTCCCTCACAGTTAATTCCAATAACGAACTCTACTCCTCCGTGCAATCTACTTACGAGACCCTGGGCAGGTCTGGGTCCAATTTGTGGTAGAGACT